ACTCCTTCTGGCTCCGCCCACTCACCTAGCCCCTCCCTTTCAGCTTGCATTCAACTTTGGTAGTTGAATTTTTGCCTGCAAGTTTTCTAGACAGCTCAAAGAAACACAAGTCAGTCCAGTTGCCTCTTGCATAAGCACCTCCATGGACATTTAGTCCACTCCTTAGATAATGGGTTTTTTTTGGGTGGGGGGGTATATTAAAATCATTTTATTATTCATAAGGTTAACACAGTGTTCGTTGATGCATTGATCCAGCCAAGGAGATGATCAGGATTCAAACTTGGAGCCACACAAAGCCGGAGCCTCTTGGGAGAAGAAATAATAAAATGTCAATTAATAAAAGAATAATAAAATTCCTTCCGCCTGGGATGGAAGCCAGTTTAATGCACCGTGCAAAACCCAAACAGGTTTTCGCTGCCTAGCAAGACCGTCCGTAAGTGACTTTGGCCGTTCTTGCCCCAGTCGTTAAGTGAATCGTTAAGGGCTGCTGAGTTCCTAACACGGCTGTTCAATGAATCTGGCTTCCCCATCTCTGTGCTTGTGACCCACAGGACCACGGCGGCCGTCATAAACATGGGGCTCAGAAAACAACCTGCACCTAAACCCCAGCAAGACGAAGGAGGTGGTGCTTAGACCTGGTCTGGAAGGCGAGGGAGGGACCTGCCCCACTCTGCATCTGGGGGGGGGCTGCGTGGAGGGGTTCCCCTCTTTCCCATTCCTGGGGGTCCACCTTAGCCAAGGCCTCACCTGGAGAAATAACACCACACAGGTGGCCAGGAAGGCTCAACAGGGACTCCGTTTCCGTAGGAAACATCAGGTGGAACCACAACGGATGACTTCCTTTTTCCGGTCTGCAAGAGAAAGCGTCCTTACATATTGTGTCACGGTGTGGGATGCTGGCTTGACAGCCGTGGACAAAAAGGCATCACGGAGGGTGATGAGCACAGCACCCAAAATTGTGGGCTGTCCCCTGACACCACTGGACGAAACCGCCAGAACCCGTTGCTGCCTCAGCCGAGTGCGGAAAATCCTCCGGGACGATTCACACCCTGGTCAGCACCTCTTTCCTCTCCGTCCATCGGGCAGCCGAACGAAGAGGCTGAAAAACAGCTTTTGTCTTTGGCCTGACAGACTTCTGAAGGCAACATAAACACCACAATTAGGTTTAACGTGATAGACGTGCAGGGCCAGCACCAAGGAGGCTCATTTCAATTTCATTGTACGCATGTTGTGCATCGACAATAAGCATTTGATTGATTGATTTTGATGGATTGATTGAATCAGTTGCCAATCATCCGAATTTTGAGCTCACGATCGCGCGGATGCTGCAACTGGCTGTATGAGTGAAAAACAGCGGAAAATCGCTTTTAAATCGAGGATTACCTATAAGGACAAAGACATTCCAAGTTGATCTGAATAGCTGACCTCTCAAACAATTCCAAAACGTGTATTTTTTTGGGGGGGGGGGGAAATATAACAGCCACAGGCAGTTTTTATTGCTCTTTTAGAGTCTGCAGAGTCAAAACTCGTGCAATTTTCCATTATCGAACAAAGGCTGGTGTTGTCTCAGCAATTGTCCAACAAATAAAGCTATTGTTGTTCCCCAAAGATCCTGCTTAGTGGAGCCGTGCGCGCACAAAGGCTTTTAGACAAGGAACCATGTTGTACTGAGTCATCTGCACATTTGCCTGTGGCTGCTGGTGTGCAAATCAGACGGGTGTTTCGTCTGTCGAATGAAACTAACAGGGCAAGATTCCCTGGCATTATGGAAACGAAGCAGGCTGGCAGGAACTGGGTACATCTAGCTTAATGGGATTTGTACGGGTTGGATTCCATCGAAGTAACTGAGAGGAGCCAGGATCTGCAACAAAGTTGATTCAGCAAGAAAAACAGCAATACAAGCATCGACTTGACTGTCCCACTACTAGCCCTCTTTCATAGTTAAACCTAATCATTACTCCATCTTCTTAACTGCGTTCTCTACGCTTGGACCACGGGGTGTGTGTGTGTGTATGCTTCACACCTGCGTCTGCACAGACACAACAAAGGTCTACTTTTAGTTTTAGTTTAATGAACGTCTAGTTTAAATACGTCTAGTGTAAAGGGACACAGTGGCTCAGAGGCTAAGACACTGAGCTTGTTGATCAGAAAGGTCGGCAGTTCAGCGGTTCGAATCCCCACCGCCGCGTCACGGAGTGAGCTGGTTTAATAGGCCCCATCACTTTCTCAGCACCCAGCTGGCATCAAGTCTTGGTCACCCCACAGATAGAGATCCTGCAGGGGGATCCATCCCCGAATTAAAATTTCCAGCAACTGCAGCCAGAAATGGCCTTATATAAAACGGCTGGGGGAGGCAGATCTAACGAAGAGAGAGCCATGAAGAGTGATCAGCATTGGAGAAGCCCTTTATATGGGCACAAAGTGTTCTTCCTTTGGTGAGACTATCTGCCTGCCTTTCCCACCGTTCGTAGGCTTGTAATGTGGTTCCTCAGAAAAGCTCCTTTTGAAGTTGGATCCTCTTTCGTTCTTTTCTTCCTTCCTCCATGGAGAAGTGACTCACTCTTTCCAACTGCCTCCAGTTCTTCCTCAGACATTTTGAAGTTAACCATAAAAAGAGAAGCTTTTTTAAAAAACAAAAATAAACATAAAAATGAGACGTATTACGGAGTTCCATCTGCCACTAATAAACATCGGAACAACGTGGCAACGGCCAAAACAAAATCAATTTGGGGGATATCAACCGGGGCCAGATGAACGAAGTGAATGAAGTGATCAAGCCAAAATTAAAAGTATCATTTTAATTGTACTGACCTGGGGGATCCTCAGGTTACCTAGGATGTTCTATCAGAAGATGGATGGAGAGATGCTTCAATTGGGATTCTTGGCCAGAACATGGTCTCCTCCTGCCATCTCTGCAAGCTGTGAATCGATCACCTGTCAAGCCACAGTGACTGAGGATGATGGGAACTGTAGTTCAAGGGCAGAAGGCTATGGAAAAGCGATCATCTGGCCACGAACAGCCTGGGAACGAGCTGACCACTTAAAGAAGGGTGCTTCAATTGGCATCATGTTTATAAATGCACAGATACTTTTCTGTTCACGTCAACACATCACAGCCTGGGTAGAACTGCCTTTCTTGAGGCTCTGTCTGACTTTTTCAGAAAGGGGAGGGGTGGATGAAAGACACCTCCAATTGCAGGAGCAGTCTACCCCAGTATGCAAGGAAGGAGCCAACAAGGGTGGGGGGGCAAGCTGGTCTCACTAGAGAAGTTGCATGCAGCTCAGGCACCAACCGTGGGGTTCTTAGTCTGTGCAGGGTAACATCCAGAATTACAGAAGAACAGAGTTGGAAGGGACCTTGGAGGTCATCTACTCCAACCCCCTACTCCAGCAGGAGCCCCTATAGCATTTCAGACACACTGTTGTCCAGTCTCTTCTTAAAAACCTCCCGTGATGGAGCGCCCACAACTTCTGAAGGCCACTGACAAATTGTTCTCACAGTCGGGACATGTCTCCTTAGTTCTAGGTTGGTTTTCTCCAAGATTAGTTCCCAGGGAGCTTCATCCCTGGAGGCTTTCAAGAGGAGACTGTCAAAAATGGGGTAGGGTCTCCTGCTTGGGCAGGGAGGCGGGTTGGACTGGTTGACCTCCAAGGTCCCTTCCGACTCTGATATTCTATGTTCTACTCATCCCAGCTAACCAACTTTGGCGGAGCAGAAGCATCGCCCGTATCCGGCCGGTCCCGCCCAGCCTCCTCCCCGAAGCCGCTTCTGCGTGGCCTGCAGGCTCCAGAGCGCTGGGCGGAGCGCAGGGCGGCGGAGGAGAAGAGGGGTGGGGTGTCTCGGCCCGGCCCCCCCCCCCCCCCCCCCCCCCCCCCAGCCCAGCCCAGCCCAGCCCAGCCCAGCCGGATCTTTCTCTCTTTCTCTGCCGTCTCCGCCGCCTGGGATTCTTGCAGAGCCGCTCTTGGATTCATCCTCCACTGCCCAGCTAGGTAGGACCCCAGAAAAGAGGGGAAACGTTGGGGAGACCCAGCGTTTGGGAAGGGGGAGGGGGCGCCCCCACTACTGCCGACGGGGCGCGGCGCTTTGGCTACGGCTGGGGTCCTTCCCGAGCCCCGCAAAGCTGGAGAGCCGCGGCAGTAGGAGGGGAAGCGGGGGGGCGAAATGGAGAGATATGGGGAGGGGGCGAAGGGGGATTGGGGAGAGGGAGGCCGCCGAAGAAGTGTGGCATTGGGGGGGGGGCGCGAGGGCCGAGGTCCGGGGGGCGCCCGGGAGCGAAGAAAGAAAGAAAGAAAGAAAGAAAGAAAGAAAGAAAGAAAGAAAGAAAGAAAGAAAGAAAGAAAGAAAGAACCGGCCGGCCGGCGTGCAGGTGGCACCCTTTGCTAAAGGAGCGCTCCGGTGCCTGTCCGAGTTTGAGCACACAATCCGGTATCGGAGACCGGAAAGTTGGGGGGTGTCGGTGGAACGCAGCGCTACTTTGACTGAGGATGAAAGGAATCCCTTCTTTCCCATTTTCTTTCTTTCCTTCCTTCCTTCCCTCCCTCTCCTTTCTTCTTTCCTCCTTCCTTTCTTCCTATCCTCTCTCCCTCCCTCCCTCCAGGGGGCATTCTCCCCAAAGTTCAGGGTTTTAAAAGGGGGGAAGGGGCGATTCCAGACTGCCTTCAACCCAGTAGCCACGGCCACTTCACAGCCAGGGTCAGGAGTCTGGGACCCACAAATAAACCACAGGTTTTTCCCCCCTAAGCAGGGAAGTGAGAGATTCCTTCCTTCAGGACAATTTCAAAGCTGGCCTAGGACTTAGTTGGAATTTTTTTTTAATGCTTCCAAAAGACCAGGGCTGAAAAATGGGGCGACCTCAAGAGTTTCCAGCTTCAAAAGAGAGGAAAAAAAAATTTAAAAACCCCTCCCCTTTAATTAAAAAACAAATCAAGACTCATCCAATCCTGAATTTGGACTGTAGAATTGCAACACCTAGGAAACGTCTACCTGAATATTTTTGGAGAAGCGTTTTTTTTGTTTTTTTTAAATAGCAGTCAAAATCAGTTGTGAAACTTTGGTCGAAGAGGCAGCACAAGTTTTCCTAAAGCCCTTTGCACAGTTTCACTGCCTGGAGTGAAACTGACGCTATTTGGCAGTCAGGAAAAACAAAATCTTTGTTTTTTATAACAGGGTTTTATGCTGTGACTGAATGACAAAAGCATCCAGGTTGCCACCTTCCCTGCTTCAGTCCTGCTCCTGTGCTTTCTGCACCAGCACTACGCATAGATGTAGCTTGCAAATATTCAGCCGAGGGGCTTTAGTAGAATTAGCTGGGGCCGAAGGATGCGAAGGTTACGGAGGGGGGGGCTTGTGATGAGAGGGCTGGAGTTAGTTTTCCATCTCTCTATCCACACACAGCAGCTACTACGTTGCTTGTCAAAAAAGAGAAGTAAATGTACACAGACTGTGGCATAGGGCAGACCGTGGAAGGGAATAACAAGTAGTTATTCTGCATAGTAAATCTAACCTTTATGTTTCCACCCCACCCCGTCTTCATCATTTTAATAAATAACTCAGGGCTGCGAGCGTACCTATTATTTCAAGGAAGTGAACCTAGTTAATCTTCCTTCCTCCTTCTCTTTTCTCCCACAACACAACACTGGCTCAAAGTCACCCAGAAGGCTTTCGTGCCTAAGGCCAGACTAGAACTCCCCGTCTCCTGGGGATTGGCCCAAAGCTGCCCAAGAGGGGACTAGAACTCACAGGCACCTAGTTTCTAGCCTTCCTCTCTTTTGAGTTATTTTACAAAGATTCGGGCATGAGAGTATTTTTTAAAACCCGTCGCCTTTAAAAGGAAAGAGCCAATATTATTCCCCTTCTGAATGTAGTTCTGAATGAATGCCTGAGTTTTCATCATTACACCCAGTCAGCCCTGTAGCTGATACAGTCCCGCACTTCCTGTAGATGAATCCACTGGGCTTTAGACGGGATTCTTTTTATAGCATGATTTGAAGATTGGATTTCTGGCAAAGCAAATAGAGATGCTGCAGGCCTGACTCTGCTCTGGATTGGCTAAAAGGGGCACAGCGTTGACCAGAAAGCTGTCATCACTCGTTGCTTCAACTCTTTACAATCGCAACTGACTTACTGAATTAGCCTGATCTCTGGGTTGGCCCAGCTCACAGAAGCACCTAAAAATTGGAGCCAGTCTTAGCGTGCCGCTAAAACCAGGGTCTTGTGGAAAGCCCTCCTGTGCCAGCTTTGGGTCTAATGCGTGCAAGTGTCTTGTGGAAGACACAGCGGTTGGGTGCAGCCTTTCTTGGGAGCTGACATGAGTTGGACAGAGAGAAAGAGGGAAGGGAGCATCGCCTCCGGTGTGAGTCATGAAGCTGTTTGGGCAGAGCAGATTCATAACCATGTCGATAGTCAGTTCCCCCATCTTGGATCGACAGATTCACACACCCAGCCCTGCCTCTGTTTTGGACCAGGAAAACAGGACTATAAGTTTTGAAACAAAAAATCCAGTCCAGCCGAGTTAGACATTTGATATATGAATGAGTACGCAAGATGCCATAGAAGGGAATATTTGTAGCTCAGGGTTGAACTGTGGGCTCCTTGATGCTCTCTGTAGCTGATCGGTTTTCTTGCAGACATTTTGTGACCCAACTAGGTAGCATCATCAGTGCTAGAAGGGAATGGGGGGAAGAGGAGGAGGAGGAAGATTGTGGGGTCCTTGATGCTCTCTGAACTGGGTGGTTTTCTTGCAGACATTTCATGACCCAACTAGGTAGGGTTTGCAGAGAAGAAGTGGGGGGAGGAGGAGGAGGAAAAGGAGGAGGAGAACGGTGGGATCCGTGATGCTCTCAAGCTTGGTTGCTTTCTTGCAGAGGTTTCATGACCCAACTAGATAGCGTTATCTGTGCTAGAAGGGAGTGGGGTTTATGGAGTGAAGGAGGAGGAAGAGGAGGAAAAGGATGGTGGGATCCTTGGTGCTGTCTGAGCTTGGTAGTTTTCTTGCAGACATTTCATTACCAAACTAGGTAACATCATCAGTGCTCATTTTAGATTGTCCCCCAGTGATGAAGGCAAAGGAAGGGGAACTCTGCTTTTCGAAAAGCAAAACAGAGGAAAAATTCTCTTTACACCCCCACCCCCCCACCCCCGGGTGGTTTTCCACCCGGAAAGGAAGCGGCATTTATCGAATCCTATTAGAACTCCAAATTTACCAAAGGCAAACAAGCTGCTTTCAATTGGGGAAGCTGGAAAGCTCTCCTTCCCTGCCTGCAGGCCCATTCCATTCCTGGCTACTCTCCAACGGAGCAGCTGTGAATTTTCTTCAGTTTAAATCCCAAGAGGAAGGAAAAAGGCAGCGTGAATCATAGTTTGCTGGCAACACACATTCACACCCATCGAATGGCTTGTGATTTTTCAATATTTGCTCTGTTAAGCGGAGAAATCAGATGGCACAATAACCACACAACTTCTGGAGGCAACATGTTCCCCTGATTAATTGTTCTCCCTGTCAGAAAATTCCTCCTTATTTCCAGGTTGAATCTCCCCTTGTTCACTCACTTTCCATCCATTGTTCCTTGTCTGGCCTTTGAGAGCTTTGGAGAATAGCTGGGCGCCCTTCCTCCTCTCTGGGGCAGCCCTTCAAATGTTGGAAGGCTGCTCTCCTGTCTCCCCTGGTCCTTCTCTTCGTGTGTTTTAGCCTCCAGTCCCCTAACCATCTTGGTTGCTCTTCTCTGCCCTCTTTCTGGAGTCTCAACATCATTTTTTTTATATGCGTGATACAAATTTTGTAAATAGTCCAAAATCCTGCCAACTTCAGCGCTCCTGAGAAGGTGCTGAGAATTGGAGGTATAAATGTTGGTGAGAAGTTAGAAAATAGAATCAGAGGGTTGGGAGGGACCTTGGAGGCCTTCTAGTCCAACCCCCCCTGCTCAAGCGGGGGGGGGGGGGGCTATATTGCCCCCTCCTGGCAGACAAGAGATTGTGGAGGAGTTTGTGTCCCCTAATACGCCATTACAGAGAATGAAAACTATCTTGGATTAACTATCTTGGATTAATTATTACCCTAACCCAAAAGAGAAATGGAGAAATGGATGGATGATAGATAGATAGAAGATAGTGGTAGTGATGAAAGATATATATAGAGAGAGATTGGGAGATGAGTGAGAGAGGGGGGGGAGAGAAAGAGGGATAGAAATAGAAAGATGGATAATAGAGATGAAAGATAGAAAGAGAGAGATATAACTAGAAAGAAAGAGAGAGAGATTGAGAGATGAGTGAGAGAGAGAGAGAGTTATCAATAGAAAGAAAGGTGGATAGATATAGATATAGATGAAAGATAGAGACAGGGAGATTGAGAGACAGGGAGAAAGAGAGAGAGAGAAAAAAGCATTTTGTGGAAAGAGAAAACTGCAATAAGCTCACAGAAAAATTGCAGTATTTTTCTGGCCCGGCTGAAGCAGCTGATGGGGAGTTGACTGGCAAACTTTTTTCCCCTTCTTTCTGCCAGCATGACCGACAGGGGCGTTTTGCCCAAAGCTGGCTAAAAATAGCTCCAGACTTCATGAGTACCAGCCATGTGAATGGACTTTTTGATTTAAGGCTGTGTTTACTGCCATATTATTCCCTCCCCCTTCCAGATGTTATGGAGAGCGATCGCCCCTCCTCTCTTCCGCCTGCCTCTTCTTTCCAGATCATGTGTTCCAAAGTGTGTGTGTGGGGGGGAGAATCTTCGTCCTTTTTTAAAAAATGAAGACAACTGCAAAGTTTTGTGTTATTGTTGTTGCCGTGCCTTGAAATGCAGCCATCTAAACCCTATTTAAAATGTTTCCTAGGGAGAGTGTGTTAAAAAAAATAAACTTATGGGGATGACATGTGTGAAAGACGCCAAGGTAGGAAGTTAAGATCTGATTTCAATAAACTGCTTGGAATGTTAACCTGCCCTTTTCCCCTCTCTGGATGCCATGAGCCAATCCAACTTTGCTAACCATGGATAATTTTT